GAATGGAATGCTTTGCTTGGTGTTGAAATGGACAACTCTCTCCAGAAGACTAACTTGCTATGAGTTGTGTGTTGCTTGCCTGTCTAAATCGAAGATTGTATGCTTTCAAGGAAGTCCTCATATTTAATATTTGGTGCATTTAATCATGGAAAAAAATGCAGAAGCATTGAGCCGATCTGCCTACATGTATCAGCTGTTAGTGGCCCTTTGATGGAGAAAAACGTGGAAAGTTCAGAGAGAGAATTCATGATTTTTCGAGATCCCAAAGTATTTTGGCTATCTGTTGGAAAGTGAATTTTCGCATTGGTGGCCAAGTGAGTGGCTGTGTACATACAATTGTTTGTTTTTGTTAATGTTTGTCTTCAGGTTCATGAGTTGAAAAGACAAAGGAGGGGGGAAAAGGATGGATTGGTGTTGGTGGGGGAGTTCCCCACCTTTCATCTGTTGAACTTAAAGAGACATTATTTTCATTTTATCCTTACAATAACCCTGTGAGGTAGTCTGGGAGAGTGTAATTGACTCAAAGTCATCCACAGAGCTTTAAAGCTGAATATTGATTTGGTCTCCTGAGCCCTAGTCTACTATTCTGAACTGTTGTATCACACCACAGTATGTTAATGCTAAATAGATTGATTTAAGGAAGCAGATGGTTTAAAACTGTGATCAAATACTTTAATTCATGTATTTAATCACAATTATTTAAAGAATTTAATTGTAATTCTTTTTATTGGGAAGAAAATCAAATAAGTTATTTAAGCATTTCTTTTTCATTTCTCAGCCAGAAGGCCTCCCAGAACAGCTTAAGACACAGGTAGCATCTTAAAGACAGGCCTTGTCTTCAGGTTCATGATTTGAAAAGACAAAGGAGGGGAAAAAGGATGGATTGGTGTTGGTGGGGGAGTGGAAGAAAGAAAACAGCCTTTCTGTAGTGCTGGTGGAATAGCACTGTCTTCACCAACACTGCCAGTGTTGACACTTAAAGAAGGAGATTGATGGAGGTTGTCTTTCAGTTCTGGAAGGATGGTCTGGCTTCCCAAATCCTCTTTCTCTGCTGTGGACCTGGCTGGACTCCCTGCTGTTGGTGCTGATAGTTACACCAAACAGTGACTCTACTTACTGGTTTTAGTGTAGTAAAAGCATATGTTGGGGGGTGAGTCCTACTTGGTGTCGTATCTTCTACTGTACCAGAGCGACTTTCTAAATCTACTTTGTGTGTACTCAGTGGAGAAATATAAACTTAATATCGTAAACTATGCCTCAAATGCTCCAGCAGTTTCATTAGGTCTTTCCATCGTACAAAAGCCTGCCACTTCTAATCCATAGCATATCTAAGCTTCTCTAACTATGAATTTATGTCTTTTGATTATGCAGGAGCCCTGATGATCTCACCAGGTATATCATTGCCCTCCAGCAACGGGAGCTTGTTCTGAAAGAACAGAACTCCACTGTCTCAAGCAGGTAGGGCTGTCAACAGACTGTCTGCACTGTGCTAGGGATTGCTGCATGGATCTTCTTCTGTGTTAAAGAAGAAAGAGTGAACACATCGGTCCAAGTCATACTGAAATTTGCTAGTGCTTAGCATGCATATGTGCATGGATGTGTCTACAAGAATCCCATGGCTATACTATTGGATTGTCATTGTGAAGTGAAACTGAACAAGTCAATAGGCATACGAGTTTACAGTTTATGAATGGTTAAGGTTCCTCCAGTGCCTTAGCCATGACGAAAAGCCAATACTTCAACATTCTAGATTTGGTTTTGCAGGCTAAATATGTTATGAATCATTGACAAGGTCAGGAACCCTGTATATCGCAGCCATGAAAGTGACTAAAACAATATGATTGGAACATAGTGCTGTGCACTGACATTGATCAAAAGGTCTGGTATATTTCTCGTTGTTCGTTCAATTCTCTTGTTCTGGTTCATGGGTTAGACTATAGTGGGAATACTAATTAGAGATGTGGCATGAATGAGAGAAGGTATTAGTTTTCAATTCTGAAAAGCCTTTGGATTATGGAGTACTGTACATTGCTGACCACCTGGCTCCTGATTGGTCTGTAATTCTGAAATTAGTACGTGGCTTTAGAAATGCTGCCAGTAGAACTGATGGTGAGATTAGGATGCTTTTCAAGTTGGGTAGTTTAATATTTGACTTCTACTGCAGCTTGCACTGTGTTTGCTCCATATTAAACACGAATAGAATTGGATTATAGCTATGTTTAACATTAGCCCTGAGAAAGAGAACTGGGTAGTGGCACTTTGGATAAATGTGGTACAAATATACTTGAATTGGGAGTTGCAATATTTGAGGTTCTAGAAAAATGGATTTTGTCTGATACAGTGGTGATGTTATGAAGACAAATAGCTTATCTTGGGAATTAGGAGAGGGGATAGTTTCGATTTTTTTCTCCCAAGATTGACTTGTTTCTTCTATATTTTTTACTCTTACCTGTTCAGAAGTGGCCACCATCTGCAGTTTCACACATGAGTTATTATTTTGCTTTAATCTTATGAAATGGTTTCAGATCAGTTTGTTAGCTGCCTCATAGTATTTCAGGCCTGCATGATGGGGTGTCACAATTTAAAATTAAAAATAAAATAGTATTTGGATCCTGGAGCTAACATTGTTAATGAAACCTACTGATTTTGCCCAGGTCTCTAAATATGGTTAGTTTACATCAGAAGAGAATATTAAGGTTGTATTTTTCCACATAGCACCACACTTTATTTCATTTAGTGTTGTGGAAGTCGTCAACTGCAGTGTTTTCATTAGGGCTAGCCACTTCACACGATTTAATACTGAGAAATGCAAAATATGCTGTGACAGTTCACGCAGATGGACAATTTTTTTCCAGGGACTTAAAGCCTGGATCCTGTTACAGTGGTGCCCCGCATAGCGACGATACTCCGTGCAGGCAAAATCGTTGCTATACGGATTCGTCGCTATGCGAAATTAAAAAAGCCCATAGGAATGCATTAAAAGCCGTTTAATGCGTTCCTATGGGCAAAAAACTCACCTTAATGCGAAAATCCTCCATACGGCGGCCATTTTTGCTGCCCGTTAAGCGAGGAATCCGGGCAAAAACACAGCGGCCGGCCATTTTTTTCCCGGCAGCCATTTTGGAACCACTGATCAGCTGTTTTTAAAACATCACTATGCAAAAATCGGTAAGCGAAACAGCTTACCGATCATCGCAAAGCGATTTTTACCATTAGAATCATCGTTATGCTATCACAAAAACGATCGCAAAAAATCCATCGCTATGCGGATTCATCGTTAAACGAGGTGCTTGTTAAGCGAGGCACCACTGTACTCTTGTATTCTCTTGTATCCTCTCCCACAGTGTCTATTGGAGGGGTGCTGCTGAAAAACAAGAAGCTCTTGTGATAAAATAATTCACTAACTAAAGTACTGTTCAAGGATTTATTTTATTTTATTCTTTAAAGATGTGTGGAATTGTTGGTATGGGAGATGGAGTCAGAAAAGGTTTTTCCCTGTGTTACCAAGCTGGTGTATGCTTTTGACCTACAGGTCAAAATCGCTGCGGCAAGAATCAGCGTGTAGCTTTCAGGAGAGTCTACATGTTTATTGGCTGAGCTATTAATTTGTTTTGTTGCAAAGATGAGGATCCAAAAGCCAGCCACTCGCCTTCTGGTCCCTTATGCTGTTTCCCAAGCAGTTTTATTTTCTGGCTGTGGATTGTAGCGATTTCTGTTCTCATTAAATGCAGCACTGAGCAGGGTTTCCAAGAATTATATGAATTTCTGGCAGCTTCAATGTATGGTAGTGCAATATATTTCCAATATATTTCCAGGTTCAATGTTAAGTGTTGGGTACAGAGCAATTCAGCAAGTTGAAGTTCAGCAACAGTTTAATGTTGTCTCTGGCATCTGGTTATCCCTTCTACTATGTCTCTTGAGGTGGGGTTTCTTATAAGAAAGTTTCTTATAAGTTCTGATCTGTTCTGAATGATGACCTTCTTTGTTAATGACAAACAGGTTTAATCTGGGCAGTAGAAGTTTTCACTAAGAGCATTTGAAACTGCTTAGCTAGCTGTTAAAATTTCCAGTGTAAAATCCTCTGATGCAAAGTCCTCTGATGCAGCTCAGGTGGACCTCTTTCTTGATTGGTACCAAGAACGTTTTTTTGCCTAATGTCTTAATAATGGAGGTTTTTTAAAGACTTTTTTACCATTTTAGGATGCAGCTCATGATCTGTCAGAGAAAATGTTCCTTAACATTTAGTTGTTTAAAAAAAGGAGTGGAACATTTAGATACTTTGGAATTCTCTATAGGCTGCCTTACTGAATTAGAGAGCTTATAGCTCTTCGGTAGTTTTCTGAACCAAACATCTCTGAAAATAAGCTTTGAAAATGGTTGTTGTGGGTTTTTCGGGCTCTTTGGCCGTGTTCTGAAGGTTGTTGCTCTGAAGGAAGAACAACCTTCAGAACACAGCCAAAGAGCCCGAAAAACCCACAACAACCATTAGATCCCGGCCGTGAAAGCCTTCGCGAATCCATTGGAAGCTTTGAAAACCTTAGGGAAGTTAACGGTTTCCATTTGTGATAGAATATCTATCAACCTTGTGATAGATATTGTTTTGAGATCTCCAAATAAAGCAAGAAGGAGGGGACAGAGATGGTGACATTTTCCTGAACAGGCCTTACGGACAGATGTATAATTTCCCTTGTTACAGTGGGGTCTCTGCTTAAGAACGTCCCTACTTAAGAACAATCCAACTTAAGAACAGCTCCCTTTGCTAAATTTTGCTTCTACTTGAGAACAGAAATCCAAGAAAAGAACAGGAAAAAAAAACCTTTCCTGCTCTTTTTTTAACCTTAGGTCATCTTAGGTTAAAAAAAAAATTCTCCCCCTAGTGGTAGAGTACGTATTAAGCAGGTTTGCATTAGTTCCTATGGGAACTAATGCTTCAATGTACGAACGCACCTCTACATAACAAAAAAACAGCCAGAACGGATTAATTGGTTTTCAGTCTATTCCTATGGGAAATTTTGCTTCAACTTAAGAACGTTTCAACTTAAGAACACCATTCCAAAACGGATTAAGTTCTTAAGTAGAGGTTCCACTGTATACTTATCCCTAATTGCTGATGTGGTAAGAAAACTGAGGCATCAAGAGGCCATTCAAGAGCAAAGGATAGACCCCCCCCTTGTTGTTCACATGAGTTTCTATTACAAACACACCAAGAGTGGATACAAACCTGCTTTGTATAGAGATGGGATAGCGTAGTGGTGTAAACCAGTGGTTCTTAACCTTTGTTACTCAGATGTTTTTGAACTACAACTCCCAGAAACCCCAGCCAGTACACTTAGTGGTGAAGGCTTCCGGGAGTTGCAGTCCAAAAACACCTGAGTAACCCAAGGTTAAGAACCAGTGGTGTAAACCATCTGATGTTGAGTGTTGGAACAATTACAGATGAACAGCATTTACTTAGCTATTTATTTCCCCAGTTTGTTTCCCTCATAGGGCCCACCACCTTTCTCTTCAGAACATATCCAAAATCTTTAGTCTCAAGTATTTTTTAAAATCATCTTGTGGTAAAGCCTTGCCTTAAGACTTCGGAGGTAGGTAGGAGGATCTGAGAGTTCATGGTTAGTATTGCTGATGGAGCCCTGGTTTCAAATAAAACTTTGGACATGGCTATTTTTCTGGATGCCCTTGGGTCAGCTACTAACTCTCAGCCTAATATGCCTCACAGAGTTTGATGATCTTGTCATGTATACCTCCTGGACTCAACATACATTTGCTTGCTTGCTTGCTTGCTTGCTTGCTTGCTTGCTTGCTTGCTTGCTTGATTGATTGATTGATTGATTGATTGATTGATTGTCTTTTCCCTGACACAGGAAACCAGGGCAACTCAAAACAAGATGAATGGGAAACCATAAGACAATACAATGATATAACAGGATAGGGAGGAGCATATTTTGTCTTGGGGTGGTGCACTATAGCTTGGTGCAAAACTGTCCTATCAACAGTATTCTTCCTCATGAAATTCCAGTTCCCATATATGTATTTGAACACCAGTATATAATGTTGTGTAAAGACAAAGCACAGAAAATGATTGATTCCTTGTTTACTGTAGCCCATATACCTTCTGCTGCATTTTAAAACAAGAAATCGTTGCTGCAGTCCCCCAGTTCTTTATGGCACCTGAAAATGAGCATTGAATATGGCATATCTGACAACCTTTTTCTTATAAAGCTGTCCAGCAGTGTTAAATGATTAGGCTTTGAGCTGTATTGGCTCAATGGGGGCAGGGCGAACCTTTTGCTGAAGAGTCTGCTGAAAGTTCCTTGTTGTTGTAAGCACAAAAATTTCCTGGCTTGACATTGGCAGTTTTGGATGAAATTGAGTTCTCTTCCCTTTGCTTCTTCAACTGTTTCTTTCCTTTTCTTGCTCTGCATTTCTGTTGACTGAGCAGTCAGTTACAACCATTA